ATCTGGACAGCTTTTCATCATACAATGGCTCTACTTGTTATTTAAATCTGACCATATGTCTTTTGTGGCACCTGGATCCCAGCACAGAAATCTCCTGTGGGAGAAGCATCCTAGCATGGTGGTTTCAAAGCCAGGCTTTGGGGTTGAAGCCTGAAGGCCTTCCTGGTTGAGGAACAAGATCATTAACGAGGCTCAACACCAGGGAGCCCCAGTGGTTTCCCTCGGAGCCTCTCCCTGCCCACAACTCTGCCCTAACCTCACCAATCGAAGGAAGGCGGAGGAGGGCTCCCTACAGTCGACCTGGCAGCTTGAAGGGCCTCCTGCAAAGGGCAGGCTGGGAGAGAACCTAGAGGGAGGCCACGACTCCACTCCCATTGTGAGGCAGAAGGGCGGCGCCTGCATCACAATGGGGCCTGGTCTTCTCACTGCTTGGAGTTCTAGGCTAAGGAATGCCAGACCTCCCCCAAGTCATTCCTCTCCTGAGCCTCTCACATCAAACGTGGGCTTCTTCTTGCATTTCTCCAGACATCCATATGGTGGGCAGGAATGGAGAACCAACAGTCTCCCGTGAAGAAGCCAATGAGGTCAATACGAAAAGCCCCAAAACCTGGCTCTACTGCTTGGCCTGGGGCCACAACGGGCTCGCTATGTTGGGGGTGGCTGACCAGGTAAAGAAGATTTTCTCCCTCAGGCCGCCCGTCATCTTGGTTTTCAACTTTTACTTTTTTTATTCATTTTTTTTCTACTTTTGTTTTTAAGCACCTTTTAACTTTATTATATTGTAAGTCACCCAGAGTCACTGTGCCAGTGAGATGGGCGGCATAGAAATTTAATAAGACTGAGCAGAGCACATCTTGAACACCAACAGCAGTCAGAGAACATGATTGAAATGCCTTAATTTCAGAACACGTGGACAGATTTAACAGTAGCTGCAACTGGGAAACTGTGACCATCCTAGACCAAGCCAAGTCCAAAAACACTAGGGAATTTCTGGAAGCCTGGCAATCAACACGCACATAGACCCAAACAACATCTATATACTATTCAAAGGAGACAATTAAAAAGCCAAAAGGAAAACAAAGAGAGATAAACCCCTCTTCATCAGCAATCAACATGCAGATGAGCACAGCCAACAGCAACATCAACCTTAGACTAATAATCAAGAAACAAGCAATACTCTGATAAAGGAACCACCAATTCACCAACAAGCTGACAGTAAACAACAATCCAATCAAGGAAGCATCAGGACCACTCCCACCATGACTGACAGGGCAAGCCACTAGTATATAAAATCAGAGCAAACCCCAGTCCTTACTAGCACTGATGGCATTACCTAGTTTGGGTAATGAAATATCTGCAAGAAACAGCCAAGCTCAGAGAGCACCTAGGACACCACAGATTAAATAAACAATTTTAAAAAACATGTTGAACCTGCAGAGCAACATTTACCAAGGAGACTAATATTTCCTGCATAATGTTGTGTTCTACCGGCATTTGCTTATACTTATATAGAGCAAGTTCACAACAAAAAATGGGAGCACCTACCAACCCCCCCAATCCCCCCACCCCCGCAAGGTTAAACCCCCAACTCTCTGATTGTGGATTATCAGCCATCCTGGATTACAGCAGCTACACTTGTTCTGGGGCTTTTTTTTTTTAAAGAGACTTTGCCTAAGCTGGAGAAAAATAACAGAAAGCAAAGTCTGCTCTTATATTGTCTCAGGAGTGGAGATTTCTTAGGAGAAATGTGATGCCTGTTTTAGTTTCTCCAGATCTGAACTGTCATAACATTCACATACAACTAATGGCTGTGAATGAAATCCATACTCTCAGTGTTCAAGATGGCAGTTTCCAAGTTGATCAAATCAAATCAAATTATTATTACAATCTTAGACCAGAACAATTAAAAGCACTCGGTAAATATACAAATATATACAAAAATATACAAAAATATACAAAAATATTCTAGTATAAAATAATAAATAACTAAAATCTATAATAAAATTCAGTGTCAATTATACATGGTCTGACTATATGATAGTTGCAATCCCTAAACTGTGTGGCCTGTTGTAGGTTCAACGCTAAAAGGGAAATGACTAAGCAGTGCAAAGGGCTAGCCACAGTTGTTATATACATTGCTATGGTGGAGAAGACACGTATTTGCAACGAATCCCCAGTGCTGCTGCGCAGAATCTGGCCACCTGTGCTGTAGTTTGGCCTTAAGCAGCCACTGAAGATAAGTAGTGTCCAGGGGTGGGGTCTACTTACCTTTAGTACCGGTTCGCAATGGGGCGTGCTCTACTGCGGATGCGCAGAGGATGTCAGGGTTGGTGGGCGGAGCCTCCCGCCGATTTTACTATCAGTTCTATAGAACCAGTGCGAACCGGGGGCAACCCACCACTGGTAGTGTCGGAATGGCCAGGATACCTAGCAGTTATTGGCAGAATATGTTTTTTCCTAATCTCCGTATAAAAGGAACATCTAAGGAGCATGTGACCCACAGTCTCCACCTCTCCTGAGCCGCAGGGACAGAGTCTTTCCGTGACTCTGACTTTTATACTGGCCATACAGGACGGCCGATGGAAGCACATGGCACCATACAAGTGCAAATGCTTTCGGGTGGTTTGCTGATTCCAACTGACTTAAGATAGCTGGCAGGAGCAACAACACATCTAATGGCCTCTGGAGCCAGAAACAGCGGAGCTTTCTCTAAGTCCGCCTGCCTCTTGATGTCCTCTACACTTTGCCGCAAGGTTTGTCTTGCTAGATCATAGTCCTTCTTGAGTATTAAAGCTGGGGAGAAGCCTAATTTGGCAAGGTTGGACTCCAGGTCAAAAGTAGTCATGCTACTTAAAAAGCCACTCTAAGAAGTCCATAGAACGAAGCTGTAACCTCTTGGTAACTGCTACCACCAACTAAGGAAAACCTTCTGTTTAAAAACGAGGAGTCTGAAGATGAAACTGGTTAGGGGAAAAAACAGCTGCTGCCAACTTGAAGAATGGGCTTAGACAATTTTGTGATGGACCTAACATGAAACTGAGCTTTGAAAGGATTTATAAAGTAAATGTTTACTTAAACATGACAAAGATGCTTTAGGCCAGTGGTTCTCAACCTGTGGGTCGGGACCCCTTTGGGGGTCGAACAACCCTTTCACAGGGGTCGCCTAAGACCATTGGAAAACACATATTTTCAATGGTTTCAGGAATAATTTTATGATTGGGGGTCACCACAACATGAGGAACTGTATTAAAGGGTTGTGGTATTAGGAAGGTTGAGAATCACTGCTTTAGGCTAACAGTAGGAGGACTTGCAGCAGCCATCCCCAGGCCATGACTGCCCACCAGTGGTGGGTTGCTACCGGTTCGCCCCAGATCAGGCGAACCAGTAGCAGTGGCGGGAGGCTCCACCCACCCTCCCAGATGCTTCTGCGCATGTGCAGAAGTGTTGCGCACACACATGAGCGCTCACGCCCATGGGCGAACTGGTAGCGACAGGTTTTGAAACCCGCCCCTACTGCCCAGGATTCAGCTTCTCTCATGCCCATCTTAGGTAGTTTGTCTACAAACATAATCACTCTGCTTACCTGACAGCAAGAGCAAAATCAGGGTGCAGAGATGCTCACCACTCCTACTTTGGAATTGCTGTGATGCAGTCTGAGTTGGCTTTTTAGAAGAAAAGATTGGCTTAAATGTTCTACTTCTATATCTGCCTACCACAGGTTCTCTTATGTCCTTATAGATGAATTCTACAGTTCTGTTAATTTAGACAAGATTATTAGGGTTTCTTGTTGTGATGTTTCAAATGTTTGCCCTAACAATTTGATCTCATCAAGACAGGCAATATTGAAGGTGTCACAAAGAAGAGGAGGCCAACCTATTTTCCAAAGCACCAGAAGGCAGGACAAAAAGCAAAGGATGGAAATTAATCAAGAAGAGAACCAACCTAGGACTAAGGAGAAATTTCCTGACAGTAAGAACAATCAACCAGTGGAATGGCTTGCCTTCAAAAGTTGTGGGTGCTCCAACACTGGATGATTTTAAGAAGGGACTGGACATCCATTTGTCTAAAATGGTCTAGGGACTAGGTTCTCCTGCTTAAGTAGGGGGTTGGACTAGAAGACTTCCAAGGTCCCTTCTGTATTCTGCTAACATAATTCAACTGTTGCTGATTGATATACCATCATTTCTCTTGGAAGCAGAAAACATCCACATGTAGTAGTTTAGGTTGAAAGATGGCATCTTTATCCACACCAGTCACAATTCAGAGATCCAAACCAAGATTCATTTTTATCAATATAAGACAGTATGGACCAGGTTCCTCTATAATCTTGTGCCCTCTGGGTATAGTAATTGCAATTCCCAGCCAGGACTGAGGAAAGACTCTCTTCTGAATCATATAGAATCTCCCTATACTAACCAATTCAATTGCTGAATTTCGATGGCTGATTTAAAGCTCAGTCTCTTCCCAGTACATCCAACAAGTACAACTCCTTAAGAAATTATCTTCTTAAATATGACAGAATTTGAGGGACTTGTGATACTTACTCTTAAGGCTTGCCTGATGTAGCTAGGCCCAAACCCTGCCAAGTAGCTTCAAGCCAGCAGACTTCCATGTTGTGGACAACTTAACCATCCATGTCCAACCTGATAATGATTAGCCTTACCTACACTACAATACGAGCTACAATGGTTTCTTACCCAAGGCCTCACAGCATTTGGGCCTCTTGTTAGGTTAACCCATCATCCCCCTGAAGGGTCAGGCCTGGAGCAACTCTTCTTCTGAGGAGGATGTGTGCCTGCTTCTCATTGGTGCCAAGTCCCTACCTTCCCCTCTGGTCTTCAGGTAACACAAGGTTGCATCACAATGGAGGCTCAAGTTTCAAGATGTCCAATCTCAGTTTCACCCCTCATCGAAGGACCTTGTCTGGGCAGGAAAAAATGATCTAGCATCCTGGGCTGCAGCCAATGCAGACCCTGGTCTGGGTGGAGAAGGACAGCGATGTATAGACTTTGTGATGACAGGATGTCCTGAGAATGACAGACGAGCGAGTGAAAGACACGATGGAGGAGTTTCTTCTCTCCCATGGTTACCAGATGGGCAAAACCATTGGAGAAGGAACGTATTCAAAGGTCAAAGAAGCCTTTTCAAAAAAACACCAACGAAAAGTGGCTGTGAAAATTATAGACAAACTGGGAGGACCAGAAGGTAAGAAGCAGAACACAAAAAGTTAAAGCAAGACAGAGCAGATGGAATGGGATAGGGCATGTTTTTAGAAATAACTGGATTTCAGTTTCCAAGGGCCAAATTTTCTCCGCTGCAATATTTTTTCCAATAAAATTTGTCGTTCCTCTAAAGAAAATCTATATCGCCATAAGCATAGAATAAAATCCACTATGACATCAATACAAATTAGATAATTTGTGTCCTTCCCGTGATGTCGTCATAATATATGTGATTTTACTTGCTGCTCCCTGCCCCACAGATGCATTGTCCCTATAAACATAGATTTGTGCATTCTTATTCTACCATCTATTGTATATTTGCAGTTTTGCAGACTTTTGTCCCTTTGGCATCTATCTCGCCAGAAGATATTTATCTGCCTGAAGGCAACAAGCTATAAGTACCATTTCAGAAGCCTTAGAACAAGCATATTTAATGTGGCTCCACTCTGCCCAGAGGCTACCGTGTTCTGGTCCAATCTGACTCTGCTGATGAAATGTATGCCCCTGACCTAGGAAACAAAGGAAGGGGAAGCTGATGGGAGAAAGGAACTTTTAAGAAGGCTGGAGATTTACATTGATAGTAGTGTCTCTTACTTCAGTTGTATTTTGAACCTTTCCAGTTGACTTTCCTATTCTAGTTGGGCTCATGGCATCACAGGCGGAAAATTCACTTTTTTTTCAAACATATCTTTAGCACTGTGGAAACTTTTAGCAAATTTGATCTCATGCAAAAGAAAAGATGACAAAGAATGGAATGAATGGGGACTAACCAGGGGGGTTTATCTTCCCCAAAACTTCCTTGGATGTGATTATTTATGATCAGGGTAACTTCCAGAATACACGGCTGCATGAATAATACAGGCAACACTTTTTAAAAGACTTGCAACAAAAAGACATTTAAGCACGTGTAAAATAGATCACAGCCTACTTCTTGTTAAGATAAAATAATGTAGGATAGACAGCATCACCACTAGATGGATATATAGTTGGCTGAAAAACTGCACTCAATGTATAGTCCTTAATGATGGTACATCTACATGGAGGGAAGCAAGCAGTGGATATCACAAAGGTCTTAAGCCAAGGGTGAAATCCACTTACCCTCACTACTGGTTCGCAAAAGTGAGCGTGCGCGCCTCCCCCATGCATGCGTAGAACCTTCTGCACATGCGCAGAGGGTCAAAAGCGGGACGTCATGGTGTCCGGCTGGGTGGGCAGAGCTCCCGCCACTGGCACGACCGGTTCTCCCGAGCCGGATAGAACTGGCTGAATTTCTAGCCCAGTACTAGAAGAGAAATTTGCAGATGACATCAAGCTGGGGGAATAGACAACACTTTGGAGGATAGATTCAAAATGCGGAAGGATCTTGACAGACTTGAACATTTGGTCCTCTCCAAGAAAATGCAATTTGGTGGTGAGAAAAGTAATGTCTTACATTTAGGCACGAAAAAAACAAATGCTCGGGTATAGAATAGGCGGTACCTGGCTCAACAACAGTAACTGTGAAAGGATCCTAAGTGTCCTAATGGACAACCACTTACAGTAAATACGAGCCAGCAGTGTACTGCAACTGCCAAAAAAGCCAATGCCATCTTAGGATGCATCAACAGAGGGATGGTATCAAGATCGCACGAAGTATTAGTACTGCTTTATACTGCCTTAGTTAAGACCACACTTAGAATACTGCGTCCAGTTCTGGTGACACAATACAGAAAGTTGCTAAGACTCTAGAAAGAGTGCAAAGAGCAACAAAGATTATAAAGGGTCTAGAGGCAAGACTAAAGCACACAATGAATGGTTGGGGGAGCTACAGTAAGTTTAGTCTAATGAAGAGAAAGACTAGGGGTGGCAGGATAGCAGTCTTTCAATACTTGAGGGGCTGGCACTGAGAAGAAGGGGTCACCCTATTCTCCAAAGCACTGAAAGCAAGACAAGAAGGAACGGATGGAAGATTTTTAAAGAGAGATCCAACCTAGAATTAGGGAGAAATTATCTGACAGTGAGAACAATTAATCAATGGAATAGCTTGCCTCCTGGAGTTGTGGATGCTCCTTCACTGGAGGTTTTCAAGAAGAGACTGGGCAGCCATTTGTCCAGAATGGCATAGGGTCTCCTGCTCAAGCAGGGGGTTGGACTAGATGACCTCTAAGGTCCCTTCCAACCCTGTTTTTCTATGTTCTAAGCTAGCAATCATGTACAGGTCCAGGAAAATACCAAGGGGTATTGGTTCACCTTAAATTAGCCCTTACCCTCTGACGTTCCAGGTCAAATTTTAAACTTCAACATTCCAACATTCCAACCAAAAGGGCTGGAGAATCCTTTTGAGATTTCATCTTGGAAGGCCTGTCTCTAGTCAGGCAGAGCGCCTTGAATGACAACCATAGCCTTATAAACTCTTGGCTGACTGCCCTGCCTACTAATGGCCTTTGGCCATGACCATTTGAAGGTTTTACATAGTTCCCCCCACCATCTGAAACTTTCAGACATATAACGGGATGAAATACAGCTGATAACCCTTAGATTATTTCAACTGCTGTACATTCAAACTATATTTAATCCAATGGATTTTGGGGCTGGCCCCATCCTCTTCTTGGGCTTTGACACAAATTCCAAGTCAACTGCTATATAACCTTCACTGCAGTTGTTACATATTCAGATTTACCATGGTTAGCACAATGAAGGTTTAGCTAGCCAATTGTTGTTTTTTGAGTTCACCTAACACAATGATCTATAAATCAGGGATACTTTCTCCCAATAATCTATGCAATTTTTTTTATTAATTTGAGGCTGCACGTGTCTAAGATACAGAACTATTTTCTTCCACCAATTCCTGGGATCATTAACCGGGGTGGTGGTGGTGATGTAGGAGCGGGTATTTTTAAACCCGTCTTGCAGAGTAGGAGCAAATGTCAAGGCATGCTCTCTGCTTCACCTGAGAAAGTCCCAGGAGGAGTTGGGTATCACAAAGTTTGAACGCCTTCACGATAGATTAAAAAATCATTAACCAACGTGTATGTTTATTTCTTGCCCAACCTAAGCTTGGTGAAATAATTTGTTTTATTGAAGGGAGCCATGCAATTTCATTTCAGGGCTCACAGCATTGCGAAGTTTGAGAACCTCTGTTCCCTAAATGCCCCCTCCCCACAGACCTGACTGGGTGCTTGAGCTGAACAGCACTGGGATGCTATGTTATACTTTTAGTAATTTACAATTCTGTACAATTAGAGAAGCATGGAAGAAAGCACAAGGATTCAGGTCCAGGGTGAATCAACATGAGAAAAATGTTTCCAGCATCGTCAAAAAAAAACCCTTCTCCCTCTCAAGGGAAATTATGACGTTGGGATCCAGGAACATTACAAGCAGCATAATGTTCATCTTTCATTAGCTATGATCTTCAGACTTGTGCTTAGGCCAACTCTGTCTTTTGCCTCCCCAGAGTTTATCGAGAGATTCCTGCCTCGAGAGCTCCAGATTGTCAAGCGCCTAGACCACAAGAACATCATCCGGGTGTATGAGATGCTGGAGTCCACAGATGGAAAGATCTACCTGGTGATGGAGCTGGCAGAGAATGGCGATGTCTTCGACTGCGTCCTGCAAGGAGGACCCCTGCCCGAGAGCCGGGCCAAAGCGCTCTTCCGTCAGCTGGTAGAAGCCATCCGCTATTGCCACAGCTGTGGGGTGGCGCATCGTGATCTCAAGTGTGAAAATGCCCTCCTGCAGGGGCTCAATCTGAAACTGACAGACTTTGGATTTGCCAAGTTGCTCCCCAAGAACCGCAAGGAGCTGAGCCAGACCTTCTGCGGCAGCACAGCCTACGCGGCCCCCGAGGTGCTGCAGGGGGTGCCCCATGACAGCAGGAAAGGTGACGTGTGGAGCATGGGCGTGGTCCTTTACGTCATGCTTTGTGCCAACCTGCCCTTTGACGACACGGACATTCCCAAGATGCTTTGCCATCAACAGAAAGGGGTGTCCATCCCTGGCCACTTGGGGATCTCCGAGGAATGCCAGGACCTTCTCAAAAGCCTCCTGGAACCAGACATGATCCTGAGGCCTTCCATCGAAGAAGTGAGTTGGCACCCATGGTTAGCAAGTTCCTGAGGACGGGACCATGTCGAAATTCTCCCCAAATAAAAGGGGACAGGCTGTTTCCAAAATGCTCACATATATTTTAACGTTATGCTCAGTTTCTAGTCTATCCTTAATCCACCGAGAAGGGAGGCATTTTAAATATTCCCCTCTCATCAGGAACTGCATTCCCTTATTCAAAGATGCCTGCAAAGGTGGTTTCAAATAAGTCAGAAGGCCAAGAAAAATAGAGTGAAGGTGTCTAATTCTAACCCTTGCTGAAATTTCTTTCTCAAACTCAGAATCACTTTGAAATGTTAAATCTAAGAAACCTCCCATAGGATTCCAAGACTGTAGATCCCCTCCCTGTCTGTTCTTCAATAGCATGCCATCTATTGGTCTCCAGAATATCCCAATTGGAAAAGGGAAGGAGGTGCCATCATGCACCAAGCCACCAAGCCAACTTATTGATCCAACCAGCATTGTAATCCAAATGAGCTGCCAGAACACGTTCCCAACCCGGTTCCCTCCGGATAGGTCAAAATAACAAATCTCAGGATTCCTAGCCAAAGTTTCCACATATCTTGGAGGGAATGAGTGAGGAGGATGTGGTAGGAGGCAGAGCTTTTCTGAGCCCCCCAAGAGAGAAATAAAGAACCTGGGGACTGACGGGAACTGAACTTGGTGGCAATTTGAAAGCTTTGCTGTGGGGCATCTTACGGAAACTTCACACTTGGGAGTTCAGCTGTACAAAACATGGGTTCCAACAAGTGATGGCCTCTCCAGGATTTGTTTTGTGGTACACAAGACGTTTTGAATTTGAAAAGTGTCAACCTGGAAACCCCACTTTAAGTGCAAACCAGGCCATCTTGAAAACTTGGGGAACAGATCAAACTGTTGTTTCAAGAGCAAAGGACTCTAGAGGTTGAGACACCCCCTCTCAAATTAACAAAAGAACCCGTTTCCCAGAGTAACTCACTCAAAATGGGGCATTTCAAATTCAAAATGGTTTGAATTCTAATTATTTTGAGCTCCCTTAGCTAGCAAATCTATTGGGAGAGCTCCCAAATGCTAGCAAGGTTCCTGAAAAGTAATGTTTTCCATTGTAGCACCTATTAGAGGTTTGGTCCCACAAGGTCATCCCCTTCCGTCAGCACAGCCAATGGTCCGGCTGGCTTTGGAAGAGAGCTGTAGTCCGACACCCCTTTCACTTGATGAACCTGGCAAGGCAGGTTGCAGGGGCTGAGCCTCTTCACCACCACCTGCCTTGGCCCTTCTGGCTGGCTGATCAGGAAGTGTGTCTATCAATCAAATCCTCTGGGCGCTGCCAAGTTCCATTCTGGCAATGCTCCTTGCCCTCATTGTGTCTGGCACAGAATAAGGCCCAGGCTACCCGAGATATTTGCTTGAAAACTTAAGAGGATGAAAAGAAAAGAATCACAAAACCAATATGGTCATTTCTGTAGAACTTCTTTAATTGCCATTAATGGCAAATCTGTAAAATGTGAGGAGAAAGTCGTAATTACAAAACTAACAGTTGTTAGAGTCACTTGTTCACCCCAGCTAGAAAACAGTCCAGGGAGATGCCATATAATTTAAAAATGAGATAATATTGCACACAACCAAGAAAAAGAAAATAATTAAGATGAAACCGGAGCCCTCGGATGTCTCCCAGCACCAATATTAGACCCCAGAGCAATGTTTCTCAACTTTAGCAACTTGCAACAAATGGGAACCCCCTCCCTGTTGATGGCAAAGCATCTCGAGGTGCCTGTGTCATCAAAGGGCAGCCAGCCCACAGATCCCAGAAGGTGGAGAAACGCTGCTCTAAGGCTACCCTATATTCTCCCGATCCAGAAAGCTTAGTTTGTTATATCCAAAAAGCAGTTTTCTCAGGACAGCGATGGAACTTGTACAGTGCAAATATCTTTGTTTTTTTTAAGCACTAAATTATTCCAGAACTGCAAGCTTTCATTTGGTTTGCCATGGAGCAAAATCCCAGCTGTCATTTTAAATCAGAGCGGCTGGAAGCTCTTCAGACTAAGCCATGTTAATGGATCGCCACACATCTACCCATGCTCCTTCAACTTCAAATGGCCATCTGCATGCAAAGTAAGCCGCCTTGTGCTGGCTGAATCACATCCTTGCTCACATTTCCCATGGATGACCAACTTGGAAATCTTTCCTCCTCTTTAATGTCTTCTAGTTTCAGGGCTGACTCCTAAGTCAATTATCCTTCAGACAGATACTGACTTTTGTGATCTGGTGGCACAGGGGAGCCCTGAAAGCCAGTCTTTTATCTTATCAGAAACTCCTCAGTGACTCTGAGACCAAACAGCATCCACAGGCACCATGTTCCCCTTCTCAACCCTGCACATGCTGTCACCTTCTCAAGGGGTTTCCTCTTAGCTGCTGCTTATAACAAGAAAGAGGAAAGAGAAGAGCAGCAACAACTCCTTCCTTCCTCTCTGGCCCTTTGGGAACCCATTTGAACGTTGCACTGCGGGAGGGAAAGGTGTGGTCTGGACACAGTCAGAGTAGCTGTCAGTTACTGGCTGCTGCTGTCATGCAAATGCACTGGGACAAAAGGAGGCTGGATGGCTCCAGTCTGAATCCATCCCAAATGAATGAAAGCAGGGATCTTGGCCCACTTCAATGAGCAAGCTGGCACTGGTTCCATTCAAATTCAGTTGGGTATGTTGAGGAACATTTGTTGGTATATTGTATCCCAAGAAGATAAATCTGCCTTTTGGACCCCCTTTTTTTTAAAGCATGATGAGTTTTAAAGTGAGACTTAATTATAGTCAGACTCCATTGCAAGGCAGCAATAGCTAAATCTGAAGCAGATCAAAAGGGGGGAGCACCACTCTGCCCCCCATTTTCCCTAAAAAAAAAAAAGAGAAGATGGCTGTACAGATTATTATTTAGAGAGAACGTAGATAAGGAAGCATCTTTGACAAGGGTGGAGAACAACCAAAACTCTCAACACAAGCACGTTGCTTCCCAAGGATTTCTATCTATGGAAGAGGATATACAGATGCTCCCAACAGCATCAATGCAAGGGGAAGACAGTTATGAAGCTTTGGCAAATGAAGATGCTTCCAGGAAGATCCAGGGTGCCTCTTCCTAATGAGGCAAGGGATACTTGAGTCCAAGCAACACTGTAGAGCACCAGCTGAAGGGAAGTACTATCCCCCACTGGATCTCCCCGTCAAAGAGATCTTAGCCATGATTGTGACAACCCAGGAGGAATGTCCTCTGTGCCTCTTTTCCCCTCCATAATTGGAATTTATGCAAGATATTCCATGGGATTATATAATGGCCTCGGAACAATAATTCCATTTGTAAAAAGTGCTTAACTTCCCAGGAAAAATGGACCAGCTTACATTTGGGGATAGGAGAAGAGAAATGGGTTCATTTATGCAAAAGTTAATTCCAAACCAGGCACTAAGAGTCTTGGGGGGGGGGTCTATAGGAGCCACAAATGCCTCACAGAGTTTCTTCTTAAGACTGGAGTTCACACAGGTAAGCAAAGAGATTTGCTCCTTCAAATCCTTAGAAGTTGTGTGGGTTTCAAAACACACAACATGGCATAGTTAGCAAGCTATCAGACTGAAAAGAGATAGGTAGAATAATCCTAATTATTTCTGAAGATCACTCAAACAGGGATAATTCACCCCACCCCATACAAATCCACTCTAAAATGCCAAGAGAGAATGAAATCAAATCCATTCTGCTTGGGGAGAGGGACTGTCTGAAAGAGGCCTCCGGTGCACAAACCCATTGCACCGTTGCTCTTCAGTCCCTCTGTACAACTTAGCTATCGTCAAGATCTGAGCAAGGGTTCTAGCCCAAGTTCCCAAAGAGGACTTGCGCAGAGATGAGGTGCAGCCAGCCCAAAACACTTTTACAGGAGAAAGGAACCAGTTGGTCTGTGATTTAATTCACACTGGATGGTGCGGGTGCAAGGGGGAAGGGGCAAGGCTGAGTCCCAGGAGCCCATGGAGAACAAAGCCCCTTGTTATTCCCAGTCCTCCCATTCTTCGTCTTCCATCTGCAAACGGGAGAGAGAAAGAGACAGACAGTGTTCGACAAAGGTATCATTTTAGAAAAGAGGTTACAAAGAGATGGAGTGGAAAGGAATTCCACAATGTACCAGAATGGATCATGATTTAAAGAATTTTAGCTGTTAAACTGGTTGGCCAATTTAACATTCAAGCAAGATATTTTTAACCAAAGATTGTAATTTTATCTTGCCCACACTTTACCTTCACTGATGTACTGCTCAAGATATTATTTCCCCAATCAGAATGTTTACATATATTTAAATATAAAAGGCAGCTCAATATGAATGGAAAAAACTTTTACATGAACAGATAGATACACACATTCATCCGAAACTCCCATCTGTATTGAGCTTCCTTTTGTGTGTTTATGCATGCCATATGTACATAGAAAAACAAGCCAAATAGGAGCTCAAGGCCAATGCTGAAGTGAAGTTTCTGTTTTCTTTTTTTAATTTAATCATGCTTATTTATATCTTGCAACTCCAACTAGCGATAAGTCGAGCAATGAACTGCTAGCCCAGAGCTCCATCCCTGCCGATGCTTTTCTTGAGGGAGGAGCTTCTTTTCCCACCTGGCATTAGTGTTTCTAGACCACCAGAGTTTCTGTAATACCGGCCTGACAGAGGGGAAAAGTCATCTACTCCTCAGCCTGGATCAGCCAATATAGTTGAATCATCATGTACTAATTAAAAGAGGGGGCAGGAAGAAAGAGGCAGGTGGATTGGACTGTTTAGGATTCTGAAATACGAAGCTCTAATTTTGGCTAGCACTGGTTCTTGGTGGCCAGAAGCAAATTCCGAGAGCTGCTTTAGCACATGGCTGCTTTCCTTTTTAAAAATAATTATTGGTTGGGAAATTTTGGAATACATCTTAAAGTGTTCTTGCAAAGTTTCAGAAATAGTGATTTATCAAAATAACATATTCAACATAACAAATTTCCAGTCCCTTGTTAACAGAAACGTGGGAACCCCCCAAAATCTCTTTTGAACATCCTTTTAAGGCTGCAATTCTTATGGACGGTCAGATAATCAATGGGGACAAGACTCCAGAGAAAGTATGGACAGTCGGTATTCAACGTCCATTTCTCTTGCATGTCTGAGAGTAGAGTCATCTGACACACTCCCGACTTCAGTTCCTTATCAGGAAAATGGGAAGCTGACCAAATGCTGCTGCTTTTTGCCATCCTACATATAACTAAACCCTCAAATTAACAGGCCAAAGTGGGGAAGAGTTGCCCATGCTAACCAAATGTCCTTTAATGAGATTTTACGAAAGGCACATGTCAAATGCCAAATGGATTTTGTTCCGCTCAACTAAGGTCCAGCAAACAGAAGGTAGTATGCAAGCTCCCCATTACTTCCTCAGCTGCATCAGACTATCCCCAAGCACTTACCTCTGCCGCAGAGATGTCTACTTTGGCAAGGGCCAGCTGAACCTCTTCTTCTGTCATGTCCAGGTCAAAGTCCTTTTCCCAGTCCTCACTTATATCTGTGCTAGAGCCTGAAACAGGAAAGAAAACACCACACATGCTCCGCTGCAAAATAGCAATAGCAATAGCAATAGCACTTAGAATTATATACTGCTTTACAGTGCTTTGCAGCCCTCTCTAAGCTGTTTAGAGAGTTAGCTTATTTCCCCCCAACAATCTGGGTACTCATTTTACCCACCTCTGAAGGATGGAAGGCTGAGTCAACCTTGAGCCTGGTGAGATATGAACTGCCAAATTGCTGGCAGTCGGCAGGCAGCAGAAGTAGCCTGTAGTACTGCACTCTAACCCCAGGCGCAGGTTTTTGAAATCTAACAATGAACATTTAGCAAGCAGCCACTGAACCATTGCATGCAACAATTAGTGGATGCCAGCTTCATGAAAACTACCTTGCAAGCAACCTTCTTAAATGTAGCAGCCTGGCTATTTTGCCAGAATCCTCAAAGCTTGAAAAGGATCTTGCAAATGATTAATGAGGATAATAATACAAAGATATATATTAGATTGATAATACAAGAATTTAGGTAAACTGTAAGCTATGAATATGGTGAGGACGCACAAAAGACTTGTAACCAACCGACACACTGTGTGCAATTGAAGATGGTTTTATGTTTTTATGTATGTTTGTTTAAAAATAAAAATAAAAAAAATTCAAAAAAAAAAAAAAAGAAAGAAAAGAATCTTGCACTGAAACATTTCTCTATATAAACATCCCTTCTTGCCCTATTGGCAGTCTCTGTTTTCTCCGGTCTCAGGCCCTGAGCGCTCCCACCACCACTGGGAACACCCAAGGTTGCATGGCTGTATGACCAGACTTTACCACAGCTTTTACTTCTGGTTTTCGGGAAAACTGGCCATAGCAAACTGTTGATTCGCTTAAGGACCATGGCATTCACTTAATGACCACAAGAAAGGTTATAAAATTGGGTCCGTCGTGTAGGTGACCCACTTTATGACCATGATGACTTACAATTGAGATGGGCAAGTTCCATGGTTTCCAGCCCCTCACCTTTCTTCCCGTTGTTGGACGGTGTGGACTTCCCACTGTCCGAATTGAGCTCGAAGAGTCGCAAGTCCAGAGGTGCGTCCTCTCGCAGAGTCTCTGTCCTGTTGCCCGACTTGCTCTCTGCACGCTCCTTAGGCTGCTCTGAAGAGGCCCTGTCCTCCTGGGGAGGAGGAGAAGGCGGTGCAGGCTTCCCTGCTTTAGCCAAGGAGCTTCCCTGTTCGTCTCTGCAAGCTTCCTGCAGCTTCAGGGAATCATCCCCAGCTCCTGCCAGTGGGGCTCCAGTCTGTAAGGGGGAGGCAGGCCCAGCGGTGGGATTTGTGATCTGAGTCACCAGAGAGACGCTCTCGCTGCTTTCTGAGGGGGTCGCCTCTGCTGGGGTGGGGCTCAGCGTGGCCCACATCTCCACTGAGGCCTCCAGGGTCGGAATGGCTTCTGCTGCCAAGACGGGGGAAGCCGGCAGTGCAGGCTGGGAAGACTCTGCCTGGATTAGAGTTTGTGAGGAGGAGGAAAAGGATCCAAGAAATTCCTCTGTGTCGAGAAGAAACATAGGAAACAATGTCAGGAAAATAAAATGAAGTAAATAAACATAGGTAGTCCTCAATTTACAAACCAAACTGGAACCGGAATTTCCTTTGTTAAGTAAGGTGGTGGTGAAGTTAGTTGTGCCCGATTTTACAGCGTTTTTGCCACAGGAAAGGGAATGACTGCTGATATTAAGTGAATCATGCTGTCGTTAAATGAATCAAGCTTCCCCCAGACTTCAATTGTCCAAAGATTGCAATGACCATCATGTGACCCCGGGACACAGTAACTATTATAAATACATGCCAGTTGCTAAATTCTCATCACGTAACTATGGGGATGTTGTGACAATCATAAGTGCGAATACCAGTCATAAGTCATTTTTTCAGTGCCATTGTAATTTAAAACAGTCACTAAGCGAAGGCGAGGGCTACCAAGATGATGCTCCAACGATAGTATCATTCTCCCTGGACATAGTAGAATAAAATAGGAAATTTTCTTTCTCTACCCCTGCTTCCTGATCTTAAATCCCTTCCAAAAGTCAAGGCACCTTTAATTTTATACATTAATTCCAAGCAAGAAGGCTGACACTAGTATTTCCCAGACTCTGCCCTCGGGACCTTTTCTCTTGCTGCTTCCAACCGTAGGTCACTGCTACATTTAGAGGCTGAGCAGGCAATTCTTGGGAGGCATGACAAGCAATGAAAGGAATTCCTTCTCCCTGCTTCCAAATTTGCCTGCATTTATAACTGAAACCACAAGGTGAATACACTATTTTCCTTGATTCTACCCAGAGTTTTGGCTTCATTCAGACATAATGCTGGACCAAGATTTATAAAACGGGTGTACTGAACAAGCTACACCGGTGTAAAACATAGTTAACAGCAGCTAATGGAGATTCAGATTGTGAGCCAGTCAGGGGTAGCGAGCATCCATGAGGCAGCCTCAAGGCATGAAGCCAATCGGGACAATCCTTGGCGCATTCATTCTATCTCAGTCCTAAAAAGGCAATTCAAAATAAAATCTTGATAAGAAAATTGCAGGAACTAGTTCAGGCAATTATCAGGAATCAACACTATATTTAAGCCTCTCCACAAGAGATTCACACATTTCATAAAGTCAAGAGCCAATTGATGACTGCATATGATTTGCAAACCAGCCTTTCGCCATTACTCTGTCAATTGCTGCATACCTTTGCTGGACACTATTAACATCGATGCTGCTTGAGAACCCAAAAAGGAGGGTTGCGCAGCTAGCAGAGTAAGCATCCTCTCCATGCCTCCATGCCCCCCCCCGCCCCGCCCGGAATTTTGGTATGGAAAGGGAATTTTATGGGACAAAAATTCTTTACTTTTCAATCCCACTGACTGTCCTCAAACGGGTTCAAAAGGTTAGCTCTGCTCACTTTGGTGGCATGATGAGAGGCTCACAGTGCCCCTAAAGAGAAAGATAGTCAGTTGCCTAGAAGATCCAGCTATACCTTGCAGCCCCCAGAACAAGAACTTTTCTGAGGCAGGCATTTCCTCCCTCTTCCTGGTTGCTTAGGCATTCGAATGACTCTGTTGCTCACTGGGGGCCTGCCCCCTTTTCTTGGCTTTGGAGGGCCACTCTTTGCAGGCTGTATCCTAAATACCTTACCTGGCCGTTCTCTGCTGATGCCAACTTCAATCCCCCCCCCCTTTGTATTCTATCCTTCCATGTCTTTGATCTGCAGAGAAGTCATCAGGGCAGCTCTGAATGGGGCAGACCTTCTTGCAGGCAAGGAACTGAACAGCCGCCTTGCAGGAATCCCGAAAAGACCAGGCCCTTTCAATGAATGGTCAGAGCTTAGGGTTCCCTTACCTTCCTCCTCCTCCCATCCTGGGTCTTCTGAGTGAACACTCTGGTCTGCCCGCTGCTTCAGAGCCTCCCTTCGGAGCTCCTCCTAGGATGACAGAGTATGCACACAACCGTCAACAACCCTCCGACTGGCTCTGCTGCCAAATGGGGACAGAGAGCAAGGGAGGGAGCGAGCGAGCACGCACAAAGCCACAGCTTCCGGGCAAAACCCATTCTCCCTGGGCAAAGTCCTGCTTTTTCTGAAAACTCACCTGCTCCAACTGGTGCACTTTATAGAAGTACCGCTGCCAGAATTCTGAGTGGGAGACAGCCACCGGCACCTAAGTCCATCAGAGGGGAGAAAAGCATAAACTTTCCTAAACCGTTATTGCCTTTGTTTCACCCAAGATGCAAAAGAGCCACATTTACAACCCCACCTTTATGGATGTGTGCATTAACCATTCCTCCAGGGACGACCCATGAGTGGACAAAGGGCACAAAAAGGATTGCATACAAATAAGCCGTTCCAGCAATTCTAAGAGCAAAACCCAGAAGATGAAAAGGAAGTTTGCTCCCTCAATTCTGCTGCTTCTTGGCATGAAAAATCCCAATGCTTTCCAGCATATTCTGCAGAGACCAAAGCCTCCATATCACACGCTAACCTGCTAAACAAGTTAAAGGAACATATAATGCCAGAGATATTTTCAAGCAACAAACCTCTCTGTGTTGGCTTGAAGAAAAGACGGAAGAACCCAAGGAGCCAAGCTTACCATTTTGGAGTAGAGGGAACGGATGGATGGGCTCTTTCCCAGCAACTCCGATATCTCTCCTTTCTTCTCCTCCAAGCTGAAGTGCAAAAGCCAGGCCTCAAATAGCTCAGGTGGTCCTGCAGGAGAAAATACTATGTCTACCAAACCACTACAGCTATGCCAAGATGAGCAAGGATAATAGTCACAATCACACAAGCCTCCTCAGCCCATAAAACTAAGTCTCATTTTCTGCACTGGCAAAGCTGGATCTGTGGCCACAACCCTACCTTCTCATCAAAGGACAAGGACTTCTCAAAGCGATCTTCCTTCTTTGTTCGGGAAGCTACAGACTTAAATAACAGGAAGAGTCTGATGGATCAAATCAAGGTTCTAAAGAAGCATACTAGAAAGAGGAGGCATGGGAGACCGAGATGTACTGTGAATTCTATAATTACCATATGCAAACAAACATATTATTATACTCGATCTTTTATTTCCTAGAATAAAAAAATCCTAATTCATTAGTCTTCCTTACCGAGAAATTTGCCAACATGCTTGGTCTACCACAGAAGACAATATACTATCACCTTCAATGCTAAACAGCAATGTTCACACGCCACCACTACCCACTACAGAAGAGGGGAACGTGGGACATTTTCCCTCTCTGCCCTCCAGCTTGGAAGTGATGGAAGAGGCAAACATCCACAGTCAAGCAAACCCCGCAGCCATTCCCAGCCTGGCCAATTTCCTGTGGTTTTCCAATCTCCTAGCCAGGAAACCATTCAGAGAATTGGAGTGGAAGGCACTGGGGTCAGGCAAAGGGAAAGCAATGAGGAAAAAAAATAGCAAAAAATCCCAAAACACACTTAAAATGCAACTTGGAACTCACTTGCAATGATTTTTTTACAAATTTCTCAGAATTTTACCATGAATAACTTTGCTTGTAGCCATCCAAACATGCTTTGATCAGTTGTGGCTGAATGAGTCTCAACCTCCACATTATAATATCACCTGCCTGCCAACCTCCCATCTATTGCTCTGGATCTACTTGATCTTTCTGTTGTAGACTTGAGAGCTAAAGATTTGTTTTTTGTAACAGCAACTTGTACTCTTGAACGGTTTGCTGTTATGAACACTAAAAACACGATATGAATTGCAGTCATTATCTTGTAGATGGCTCCCCTATTTTCCAGAAGGACTTAATTCTATGTAATTCCCCACTCCGAGCTTCCCTGCCTCCGATTACCTCTCCACTTACCATCAGGTTCGTTGCAATAAGTGGCAGGGTCAGACTGAAGGCTATAGAGCCGAGCCTGGAAGAGAACAGACAGGTAAAATTATATGAACAAGAGGAATTCACAGTAGGGGGGAGAGCTCTATTTTAGGGTCAGAGGGACTGCAATGTACCTTGGCACTGTCATACAACTCTGTGGTCCCAGATGGAGTTGCCATCAGGGTTATGACATCACAGTCAATGGTCTTATCTGGCGAGGGTGCAAATGTGTCTGAAATAACACCCAAGAAGTTGGAGAGTCCTTTTCTCACTTTTTCCGTCGCCCCCGAAGAGCTTTCCGTCTTTACATACACAAAAAGAGATAATGAAACAAACAAAATTAAGCCACAGGAAGCAGAGATTGTAACATCCTACAAAGTTTAACCAAGAGTGAAGTTATATGTCAAAGCAATACTGTCTACTTGGTATTAAAACAAAAGGACTTCCGGCTGACATCACGGTGAGATCAGAGGTGAGGAGTGAGTCTCCCCGCCCCCACGCTGAGTTCTCCCTGTTGGAGGGCTCCGAAAGGAGCTAAAGCCACCCTGTAGGGGTGGTGAAGAAAAGAGCGGCGCCCTGCAGGTCGCAGAGAGCAGCAATTCTCCTGCTTCACTCAGGGCTTCTTCCCTCTCATCCACAATGAGAAGAGGTAGCCATCATGGTTGCCATGAAGCTGGGACAGCTGAGGCAACAAAAGAATGTGCAGGAGTGGTGTAAATGAACAGTGACTGGAGCTGGGTGAGAAGATTCCTTTTTTATTTAGACCCTAACTTTAAAAGAAAAAGAACGAAAGAGGAAAAGCCAGGAAAAGAGACTTTTAAAACTACTACTTAAAGCGACGAACAACCATAGAGAGAAAATCCTAGACCCAAAAGAAAGGAACCAAAGGGAGAAAAGCTAAGGACCTTTTAAACCATAGAAAATTGGATTTTTAAACTGGGTAGGTATTATTTTGGAGAGTCATTATAAAATGCTGGAACTATCTACTTGAATTTACTTGAACAGCTGACTTTGCTTCCATAAATTGAATTAAATTTGGATTAATCAATTTATCAGACTTGAAACAATGCTGAAACCTAAGCTGATAGGACCATCTACTGGTGATTGGAAAATATACCATACCTCTACAAGTCTAGGAATTCCTGATATGAGAAATAAATAACATTCATCTGGAGGTTTGTGGTGATACTTACTGTTCTATAACTATCTACTTTATGACTACTGGTGACTCTATTGTGAGAATAAGGAAGACTCTTAACTAAAGTAAAGTGACCTTTGACTATGGAAGCTGCCTGGACTACTTAAATGGAACTGCTTGATAATCGTGAGATGTAAAGAATTATTGAACTTTCTGTGGAGCAGCATTGGACTTGAATATATTGTTTTTGAATTTGAATAAGAGCCGGACTTATTTTAATAAGACAAGATGCTCTCTCAGGGGGAAATGAGTGAGATTTCAAGAGATATGATGTTGATGTTGCAAAGCATTAGGGGTATTATGACAAAGAATCACAGAGAGATAAAGAGCCTTGGTAGTACAGTGGTCTAAGGCACCCTGTTATTAAGCTGGTTATTAAGACCAGCTGCCTGTAATTACTGCAGGTTCGAATCTCGCCAAGGCTCAAGGTTGACTCAGCCTTCCATCCTTTCTAAGGTAGGTAAATTGAGGACCCAGTTGTGGGGGCAATAAGCTGACTTTGTATAAATATACAAAAGGATGAAGGCTATTGCTGAGCACATTGTAAGCCGCCCTGAGTGTCCGGAGAAGGGCGGCATATAAATCAAATTTAAAAAACAAAACAAAACCCTAATGCAAGGCATAAATGGGAAAATAGAAAATATGCTACAACTGATAATGAATGAAGATCAAAGAGTCCAGGAAAGAGAGGAGACAGGAGAAAGAATAGATGGAGGAAAAGATAAAACAGACAAACAAGGAAACAAAACAAGGAGAAGGAGAAGACGATAAAGATAATAATGACTGATGGCTTCCGGTTTGCTGCTGGCCGCCGCCAGATGCTCCTTCGGGATCGTCAGCTTCCACTGCCTGTCAGAGCCGCCTTCACAACGGAACGGCGGCTCGAAAAAACTCCGTTTCCATGAGGAAACGGAGATAGAGCCGGCAGGGGTGGGTAGAACTCTCTGCAGAGTCCCAAAAGTTTTTCTTTTACTTTTGGGACGGAGCGGATGAGATGCCCCATATCCCCAGCCGCTGCTCCGGGCTTTGGGAGACCTCTGCTAATGCAGAGCCAGGCGTCAAGAGCAAGCCTGTGAATTTAACAGACTATTCAAAGAAAATGTGAGCTGGACCTGTAATACTGAATCGCAAGTATTCTACTTATCTTTTAAAAAGTACTTAAGAGAAAGAGGAAAGGAAAGGGGGGGGGGGAAACTTTTTAAAATGGCGTCTGCCGCGGCTGGAGAAGAGGCTGAAAGGGAAAGTCCTTCCGTTTCCTATTATTACAATGTAGCGGAATAAATACCACTGGCTACATTTGTAGACAAAACTTCGCTCCTGTGTTTTTTTCTCTCCTTTTCCCCTGGAGACTTGACATTGTTGTTGATGGGAAAGAAGTCTTTTTTCCTGTTTTTTTTTTTTTTCTTTTAACAAAGCCTGCCTGGGCGGAAACATGGCATTGAGACTTATAAAGTCAGATAAACAAGTAGGGGGGGGGATTCCCCCATTAACAACTTAAAGGAACAAGTTTTAACTCTTCAGTCTCAGAAACCTGATTTTAATATAATAGAATTTCTCTTAGAGGAGATTGAAAGAAGGGATGAGATTGTGAATCAGCATCTTGAAAAATTTAAGCAGGAAATTAAAGAATTAGTGAAATCTAAGTTTGATTTTTTGGAGTGAAAAATTTTAAAAGTGGCTAATGGTTTTTCAGAATTTATGACACAGCTGGATACAAATACTAATTTACTAGAGTCTAAAATGGAAGAAATTCAAGATAAATTGGACAATAGAATTCAAAAGATTGAAAATGATTTGATAAACTCTCAGGATAATAGCTCAGAAGAAAAACCTAAAATGGAGGCTGATCAAAAGTCTGGTAATGTAGAAAATCTGCAACAGAGGATTGAAAAAGAGGTTCTAATGGTACAATGTAATTTTACAGAATATGCGATAAGACTAAGAGGCCTGCAGGAAAATAACAGAGATGATTTAAGGAGAATATCTTCTGAAATTCTAGCTGGGATTTTAAAGGTTCAACCTGAGGAAGTGTTTTGTAGGATTGACAGAATTTACAGAATAAATTCCTGGATTGCCAAGCAAAGGCAACTGCCTAGAGATGTGGTGATTTATTTCACAGATAAAGAAATTAGGAATAATATTGTGCAAAATTCCTTTAATTCTAATTTGCAATTGTATGGAAGAAAGATTTGGATTTACAAGGAACTCCCACCTAAGATATTAATGGAAAGGAAGAAATTTGGTTTTCTGGTGACTGAGTTAAAAAAGAGAAATATCCCATTTAGGTGGGACGCCCCAGTTGGTATTATATTGAGATATCAAGGAGAAAGATACCAGCTAAATACTGTTGAAAGAGCGGAAGAATTTTATCGAAATAGGTTGAAAATGAATTTAACATCTTCAGGTATAATACAGGATAAGCAGAAGGAGCTGGAAATAAAGGGAGAATATCGAATTACAGAGACTGTACCAGATAAATTGCCTTTGGATTTATCGGATACCCCAGCTGGATTATCTACAAATTTGAGAGAAGTGGCACCTGACTTTAATGTGACGACTTATCAAGGCAAAGACAAGCATGGAAACCAATTAGGGGACATACAAGGGATAAAAAAGAGACATGAGACACAAAAACAAAATCAACAAGACCAATGTACAAAGCAGAATGAAAACCGACTAGTTGATACACAATCTGTAGAAAGGAAACCAGGATGGAAATCAAACCCACAAAAAGAAAAGAAAAAAAGAAATAGGTTGCATAAAAATAGAAATTTCTAAATCAAGCAACAGTGAAGCCAGTGACTTTAAAATATGAATGATTACGTGAAAACATAGAGGAGGCGACGTATTGGTCAATATCATCCTGAGGATAGTGGCAGATCTCTGCATTGCCGTAATCTTGGGACGTGAAAAGAGCCTTAATCTGATGGATTTGAATTATCCACTTTGGAATTTCTTTTTGTGTTGATAAATATATTATAATTATCTTGAATCAGGCAAGAGAATTATGCTGGGGCATGCAGAAGATCGGGTTGTTACCCACTACGATGATGGGAATCAATAATCCTGATGAAACCCACAATTATTACTATATGGAATATAATTATAATGTCACTCGGGTGGTTGTTTTTACTTTTATACATATAAGAAGATATTTACTACTGATGGGGGCAGATATGATCGAAGATTTTGAATAAACTGTTGCATCAGCAAGCTATGTTACCCTATTACAGATGTTGGTTCTAATAATCCAGTGGAAAGACTTCAAAGAAGATATTATATGGACGATAAATTTAAAGTCATTGTCTTTTCTTTTTTTATTTAGATATAATGGAATATATATACATATATTTTTAAGTAGTGTGGGCAGTGAATCAAAGATATTAAGAATTGTTGTGTATGGTAATTTTGCAGGACAGTGGGTGAATAAGCTAGTTAGCAGACTGATTAGTTTAAGAAAAGAGATTTTTAAGTGATATACTTAGGGGAGTGGAGGAAATGGATAGAGTGGAATAAATGTTAAATGTTAAATGTTAAACTAGATTTTATGGGGAAGGCTGCTTTGAAATGTTATAGTAATATATATAGAAGATTAAATGTTAAAGTAGGACTTATCGTATAGTCTTAAAGTGGAAGGTGGTTTTGAATTGTTGTAATAATATATAGATATAAGTTTGGGAGAGGAGAAAAAGGGCAGATTATTGCCAAATTGGGAGTTATAATACTATTATGTTAAATTAGAAGTTACTCTACAATGTTATAGTATAATGTTTGTTTGTTTTTCTTTTCTGAAATGTATGGATAAAGGGGGATGTTATAATATTAATAATATTTTTAGTAAGTAAAGGTCAGTATTTAGAGGAGGGAGTGAGTAATCTGTTATGAATTAGGTTTTTTGTTACGAAGAAGTCACAGGGGGGGATGGGTGGGGAGGGGGGGTTAGAGAGGGGGAGGGGAAAAAAGGGGGGAAAATTTGTATTTGAAAAACTTTTTCAATAATAAAAAAAAAAAGATAATAATGACTGATGAAATAAAGAAAGGGAAAAGTACTTTAAGAGATTTAAAAATGGATTCGAATAAGATACTTTTGAAAAGGAGATAGGGGTTTGGGTGGACACTCTGGGGACCTGGCAACTTAGGAGGATAGAGATGGAAGAAATATTTAGACTAAATGGTGAAAACACTGATGCTGATAGAGACAAAGATCCAAGAGAGGAGTATGGAAGGAAAGCCAAAAAAATGAATAAGAATTGAAGTATTGAAACGGGCAAGAGATGATGGATAGAAAGGAATTATTATTATTTTCTAATATAACGATGGCCTGATTAAAAACTGAAATAGAGGTAGAAATAAGAATACACACTTTTATATAAAGCAATAGTTAGATGGAAAGATTAGAAGTTGAAAGATGGTATTATTAGATATGTTTAAACAATAAGATGACTGGTACTTGAATGGCGTATTGTGACTTTGAACCAAATAATGAAGGACTATGTTTTAATATATAAAGGTGTATTAACACTAGGATTAGTAATGGTGGCCCGACTAGAAGCTAGAATAGAGGTAGAAATAAGAAATGGGGCTATTAGCAGATATAATTTTCATATAATAGAATATAATAATTAGAAAGATTAGAGGTTGAAAGATGGTATTACTATGTATGCTTAATATCATTGGCATTAAAATGGAACATTGAAATATTGAATAACTACTCTAAAACAAACATGTATATCAATACTAGGATTAATAAGTTTGACTAATGTAACAAGTATTATTATCCTCATATACTTTATTCATTAAACATGAAACTCAAGTCAACTGAACATTCAAAAATGCATCACAAATACCATTGACTGGTGCTAATGGTTGAAACGGGTTGCTGCCAGCATCCTAGGTATCAACCAAGTACCTTAAGATGTACGATGTTCCGAGTAGCACCGTTTTTTGCAGTTCCGCTGGTGTTGTTGCCAGAAGCTGCAATTTCTTGATGTATTAAGAAAATTCTTAAACATGGTACAAGTGGCCCGATGATGATGATTAAGGCTATTTGTACCAAAATGAACTATACCCAGAGGCACATTGTTCATGTATTCAGATTGATGTATATTTAAAAATAAAAATCCAATAAAACTTAAAAAAAAAGAAAATAAACTCTACAAGTATTTCCCCCTTGCTATGCATCCCTATATCTCCGTAACGGACCCTTTACTTACAGCCAACTTTTCTTTGACCACACTGGCAGTAGCAGCGATGGTGCAAGCTGTATCATGTTGGACCACCTGGGTAAATTCTGTTAGATCACGTTTCATGAACTCCAAGGCCTCTGTAGACTGCAGAGAGAAAGAATGGGTGCACTGACTCTTGTGTGATAAATCAGAGCTTCTGCAGAATTTCAAACAATTGCTGTTACTTAAACAAGGAGGTGCAGCGATATGACAATGGTGGAGCCAGAAAACTCTGATCACTCCAATGCATGACCAGTAAGAGAATACAACGGAATCTTTTAAAAAATCAAACTAGATATCGGATGGCTCAGTTGTTGTTTTATTACACAGTTTCTACTCCAATATATTAAATAAAATACACTTTTCCAGTTTGAAAAAAGGCTCAAATTAATAATAATGCCCAATTAGTACTCATGTATTACAATTCCAAGATTTATGCTCTGAATGGAGAACACCATTTCCAGCCAAGTTAGCATGTTCTACTTTAATGTTTTAAAGTTAAGCATCTGACCATCAACAAGATGGAGTTCTGGATGCTTTTTAAATTGTACTTAATTGATGGGGGAAGCCTTTAAAAGACAAAATAGCTTAGAGTCATTACTGGATTTATAACAACATGAGTAAGGCACTATTATTAACCAGACTTCAGTACTAGATGAAGCAAAGGCAGGTGATTTTTTCAAAGCAACCTGGCAAGTTTGTTAACAAACAGGAATTTCAACTGGCATCTCATCGTTTGAAGTCCAACACTCTGCCACATGTGCCAAACAAATTCTAAAACTTATCTGGAAGTTTGGGGGAGGGGAAGAGAGGAGAAATCAGGGAGAAGCAGTTTCCAGCAGACTTAGTTTCAAGTCTGGACTCCTATCCCAGCCCATTCCAATGCAAAGAACAAGCAAAGTCTTTCCTGAAAAACCAATGACTGACAGAATACAGAATACAGAAGTTAAAAAATAATGTTTTCAAGGATTCAAGCAATCAATATACCTCAAAATTAAAGAAGCACCCCCAAAGTTGTTCCTTTAGGCCAAGAGGTTGCTCTTTATTTATTGCATAATTCCAAAAATTCTGCCTACCTTGTCCCTGACCGTTTGAAGGCTTTGCTGTAGCCAGCTCCTCCACCAGCCTCCATCTTCCCTGTTACAGGAGAAACATATAAAACTGAATAGTTTCTAACTATGTTTTAACATTTGGTGAATTACTTGAATCCTGTCAACTGGAGTACCTTCGACAATCCTAATCATACCCCAGGACCTTGTACGAATTAATTTTGCAATCATTATTTGGTATATTTGATTTTTAAAAAACCTAAATGAGATATTAGCAGATATTAAAATATTTTTTTCTTTTAATGGGTAACAAACTTGAGTGATCTCAATGAGGTTTGTTTCTAAATAAATCCAATTAGAATTGAGGGGCATAGCAATGAAAAGCAGGACATCAACTAATAATATTTAAAGACAATGACAATACAAATGTCTAGGGTGATACTGACTGCGTCCTGTAAGGTATGACACTAGTTTTGGCATCAAATCCAAGCTTCCTAAATTTGCCATGTGTAAAAAAAGCAACAAACAAAATAAACATCAATTGTTCTAGTAGCACAAAAGAAAATTAGGCTGTGAGCCCACATTTCAGCCTGTAACTTAGTCTGGGTAATTTAGTCTGAGAATGTAGGCTTACTGGATTCATCACCCTCTAAGCCAGAGGTGAGGAATCTTGGCCCTTTTGCGACTTGTCCACTTCAACCGCCAGAATTCCTGAGCCAGCCAGCTGGGAGTTGAAGTCCACGAGTCATGAAAGGGCCAACCGCTGCTCTCACCCAAAGTTTCTCAACCTCAGCCACTCTAAGATGGAGGGACTTCAACTCCCAGAATTCCCCCAGCCTGGCTGTGGTTGAGAAACGCGGCTCTAGTAAAAGCAACGTTCAAACTCAATTCATCGTATGTCAGAAAGGAGCAGATGCCCGAACGACTAAAGAACCGTTTCCAGCTCATTCAAGCCGGCCAAGAGGACTGAATTCAGCCCCGGGCAGCGCCGCCAGCCCCTACCGCCATTCTCCCCGACCACCAGGCGGTCAGGCTACCCAGCGTGGATCTCCAGGCCCCTCCGCGCACCGCCTCAGCGCCTGCCCCGCCCCCGCCGAGCCCGCCTTCCCGGCGCCCCCTCCTCACCCCGGCCCCCCGCCTCTCCCCAGAGCGGTCCCGCAGCTCATCTTCCGGCTCTCCCAGCAGCGCCAGCGCCTCATTTCAGAAACCAGAGCGCGAAGATCCCGGAGAGAAGGGCCAAGCGCTCTTCACACGCCCAGAGAGCCCTCGCTCCCTTCCCCCGCCCGGCCCACGGCGCCCTCCTTTGCAGCGGCGCCGCCCCCGGCGATCTCGCTGGAGCTCACCCTTCCGCCATCTTGGCCGCTGACGTCACCAATATTTACTGACCTTTGACACGCCATTGAAGCTCCGCCCCTCCGAGGCTCAACAGCCGCAGCTTCCGGCCGTTCCGTGACCTCCCGTAACCACAAATACGTTTCCGGGCACCTCTTTTACCACCCGAGGTAAAGAAAAGGAACCATAAAGGATTCTGAACGTCGCGGATGCCCTTCGTTGCATTCCAAGCGGAAGAAGCCGATCTTTTCCGGACACTCTCCATCCACGTTGGTTTCGCAAAAGGTTTCCACCCGCTTCTGTAGCAGGAACCGGAAGCCAGCGCAGAGAGCGGCTTCTGTGTTTAGAAAAGCTCGATGGTTCTTTCCGAGTCGGCTGGCAGTTGTAGCTACGGCAGCTGCCGAGGGTAAAATTATTTGCTCGAAAAGCTCTTAGAATTCCCCCCCTCTACATTGGCAGTTTCCAGGAGGGTAACGGGGAAACGGGAAGGTGACGATTGCGCACCGCGCGGAAAGGAAAAAAACCTAGAAATGTGTGGAGATCTAGAGCTGTCTTTCTGTAAGTCAATACTCGCGTGTCAGTTGTTCCTGGGCCGAAGAGCACCTGGAAATAAGAGAATAATAGAATAACAGAGGAAGGGACCTTGGAGGTCCTCTAGCCCAACCCCCTGCACAAACAAGAGACCCTGTGCCATTTCAGACACGTGGCTGCCCAGTCTCTTTCAAAAAGCCCCCAGTGAATTGGTTCATTGTTCTCTCTGTTGGTTCTAGGTTGCATCTCTCTTTAATGATCTTCCACCCGTTACTTTTTGTCCTGCCTTCAGGTGCTTTCCCAAATAGGTCCTGCCCCTCTTCTTCGTGGCGGCCCTTCAAACACTGCTGTCATGTTGCCCATAATCCTTTTCCGTAGACTAGACATGTCGGGTTTGTGCAACCATTCTTTGCATGTTCCAGCCTCCATACGCCTAATCCTCTTTGTTGCTCTTCTCTGCACTCTCTCTCCAGAGTCGCAACATCTTTTTTATATTGTGGTGACCCAAACTGGATGCAGTATTCCAAGTCTGGTGTTATGAGTGCATTATAGAGTGATATTAACACTTCAGGTGAAAAAGGACCCTAGAAAAATATATTTTGCCAAGTATTTATTTTCTGGTGGCTTACAACATTAAAATGAAACCATAAATCACCTCCCAGTTATGACTGTATGACTGTAACTTTGTTGCTTGTATTCTTACGATTTATATTTATATTGATTGTTTCCTAGTAAGATTTGATTGTTTATTTGTACCCTATGACTATCATTAAGTGATGTACCTTATGATTCTTAATGAATATATCTTTTCTTTTTATGTACACTGAGAACACATGCACCAAAGACAAATTGAGATCTGGAGACTGGCTAGGCCACTCCAGGACCTTGAAATGCTTCTTACGAAGCCACTCCTTTGTTGCCCGGGCGGTGTGTTTGGGATCATTGTCATGCTGAAAGACCCAGCCAAGTTTCATCTTCAATGCCCTTGCTGATGGAAGGAGGTTTGCACTCAAAATCTCACGATACATGGCTCCATTCATTCTTTCCTGTACACGGATCAGTCGTCCTGGTCCCTCTGCAGAGAAACAACCCCAAAGCATGATGTTGCCACCCCCATGCTTCACAGTAGGTATGGTGTTCTTTGGATGCAACTCAGCATTCTCTCTCCTCCAAACACGATGAGTTGTGTTTCTACCAAACAGTTCTACTTTGGTTTCATCTGACCATATGACATTCTCCCAATCCTCTTCTGGATCATCCAAATGCTCTCTAGCAAACTTCAGACGGGCCCGGACATGTACTGGCTTAAGCAGGGGGACACATCTGGCACTGCAGGATCTGAGTCCCTGGTGGCGTAGTGTGTTACTGATGGTAGCCTTTGTTACGCTCAGGGCTGTGGAGTCGGGAGATAAATGTTCCGACTCCGACTCCTCAGTTTTTTGTACTTCTGACTCGGACTCCGACTCCAGGTACCCAAAATTGACTTCGACTCCGACTCCACAGCACTGGTTACGCTGGTCCCAGCTCTCTGCAGGTCATTCACTAGGTCCCCCCATGTGGTTCTGGGATTTTTGCTCACCGTTCTTGTGATCATTTTGACTCCACAGGGTGAGATCTTGCATGGAGCCCCAGATCGAGGGAGATTATCAGTGGTCTTGTATGTCTTCCATTTTCTAATTATTGCTTCCACAGTTGATTTCTTCACACCAAGCTGCTTGCCTATTGCAGATTCAGTCTTCCCAGCCTGGTGCAGGTCTACAATTTTGTTTCTGGTGTCCTTCGACAGCTCTTTAGTCTTCACCATAGTGGAGTTTGGAGTGTGACTGTTTGAGGTTGTGGACAGGTGTCTTTTATACTGATAACAAGTTCAAAAAGGTGCCATTACTACAGGTAATGAATGGAGGACAGAGGAGCCTCTTAAAGAAGAAGTTACAGGTCTGTGAGAGCCAGAAATCTTGCTTGTTTGTAGGTGACCAAATACTTATTTTCCACCATAATTTGCAAAGAAATTCTTTCCAAATCAGACAATGTGATTGTCTGGATTTGTTTTCTCATTTTGTCTCTCATAGTTGAGGTCTACCTATGATGACAATTACAGGCCTCTCTCATCTTTTTAAGTGGGAGAACTTGCACAATTGGTGGCTGACTAAATACTTTTTTGCCCCGCTGTACCTTTAGAATATTATGAGGGCCACTCAGAAAAGCAAATGGCCCTAGTCTTTTTAGATGCCCAAAAAGTTGTTGGTGTTGGTTCTTACCTTTAAAGTGCTCATGGCTTAGGACCTGAGTACTTACGAGACCACCTACTGCAACCGATAACCTCCCACCAACTAATACGCTCTCACAGAGTAGGCCTACTCATAGTACCATCATTAAAACAATGTCGTCTAGTAGTTCCAAGGGAGAGAGCCTTCTCTGTGGGGGCACCTATTCTTTGGAACAAAATACCCCCTGGAATACGAATAATCCCAGATCTTCGCACTTTCCGACGTGCCCTGAAGACCTTTCTGTTTCAACAAGCAGGGCTAGCATAAACATCTAAATTCTATGCCAAGGTCTTAGCAGATACACCAAGTTGACTCAATTTATTATTTACTGTTTATATAAAAAATTTTTATATGTATTTGAAATCTTAATCTGTTTACCGCCCTGAAGTCCTTCGGGAGAAGGGCGGTATAGAAATTCTTTTTTTTTTATAATGTTTTTATTAATAATAAAAAAACAAACCAACATAAATACATTAAAACAACATACAAAACGAACAAACATCAATTCAGTCCAATGACTGACTCTTAGAAGTTACTACAGCGGTGGGTTATTTTCATATTTCTATTTGTATCTATATCTACATTCACATATTTACATAGTTATATATGTATGTATATAATTGACTCCTTATTTACTTCTATGCATTTCTATTGAATAGTCAAAAATTATCTTTATATTCCTATTTTTGCCTCCAGCCAGCTGTACCATCTTTGCCATACTAAATAGTAATCAGTATCGTCTTTCTCTTGTATTTCTTTTGTGAGCTTATCCAATTCTGCACATTCTGTAATTTTAGCTATTATTTTGTCCTATGTGGGTAACTGTTCAAATTTCCAATGTTGGGCAAAGAGTATACGTGCTGCTGTGAGGATATGGATGATCAGATATTTTATTTCTTTGGTATATTGTGCTGTGATTATTCCCAATAAAAAGGTTTCCGGCCTCATTTCCAGTTTTTGTTTTTGTTTTGTGATTTCTTCAATCGTTATTTTAATTTGTTGCCAGTATTGTTTTGCCCTTCGGCATGACCACCAGAGATGATAATATGTCCCTTTCTGTGATTTACATTTCCAGCACATTGAAGATGTATTTGGGAACATCTTGGCCAGGCGCGCCGGTGGGAGGTGCCATCGGTAGAACATTTTGTAAAGGTTTTCCTTATAGGGTATAGACAATGTCATCTTATAATTTATCTTCCACAAATTTTCCCACTTATCCAGTTCAATAGTATATCCTATATTTTTGGACCATGTTATCATATTCTCTTTGACGACCTCCTCTTCTAATTTGTATTTTAGTAGGTACTTATAAATTTTGGTAATCATTTTCTCATCTGTACTTTGTAATATTTTATCCAGTTCATTTGGTTCATTTTGGAATCCGAATTGTGCCCGATCAGTTTTGTATCTTGATTCTATTTGCATGTATGGCCACCAATCAATGTCTATACCCTGGTTTTGTAATTCTTGTCTTGTTTGTAATTCTCCTTCACTGTTCAGTAGTACTTCCGGCGGTGACATCAGCGTGTTAGGGACGAAAGGAACGGATCTCCGTTCTCCAAGTTCCTAATATCTTCGATTTAGGAGCCGATTTAGGCACTATTGACCTCGGAGAGTCAATAGAAAAAAGGGGAAACTCCGAGGACCTCGGGGAGGACAGCAATCCCCCCGAAGGTTCAGGAAACCCCCCTTAATCCTGATCGGGGAAGAACCAGCCACCCCGGCTGGCCAGAAACGTTGACAGCTGACTAAGAGGGAAGCGAAAATCAAATAAAGAAGACTTCGGTGGAAGGATCGGGAAGAAAAAGAGCTCAAAAGGTATATTTACAATCCATAACGTGAGAATCGAAGGCGGAAGAAGATAAAACTCCAACTAAGAAGCGAACCATCGCTAAACAAGCGGCGACTGAGAAATAAGCGGAGACGGATTCCATCTTGACAGTGACAGCGCACAAATTAACAACCGGCGAAATCGGAGGAAATCCAGAGGAAACCCAGGAGGAGAAAGTGATCCCAGAGAAACTTGGACTTTGGATATTTGCTACAGAGGAGAGACGGAATTTAAGGAGAGAAAGGGATAAATTTGACAGACTTTGCCCTTTGTGGAGGTGACAACGAGGCAATCAACAAGCAGCCGATACCGGAAGAGAGAGCGGCAGAAAAACTCCGTTTAAAGTGGAAACTAGTGA